TACTCCTGTATCTGTTCTTAGTTACAGAAAAGCTCATACCGGGTCTTTTGCATGGGGATCTGCTCCTTTCTCCAAGAAAATCAGGCATATTTCTTTAACCTCATGAGCTTGCTCACAGGCTTGTAGAAGCACAGATCTCCCAGTAGTGGTACAGTTGTTGACATCTGCACCATAATCGAAGGCAATTTGCAGGCAGTGGGAGTGGCGTCCTGTAGGTGAAAGGCAGTAAAACAAGATACCTGCAAAGGAAAACAGTGGGGATTAGGGTGCAAAAGGAGATTACCAGAAGGGTTGTGAGGCTGTGAGCTTCACAGCTGACCAGTCTGCAATAGAGACCCCTTCACTGAGGGTGTGCCACACAAAAAAGACTTCTGAGACTTTACTTGAGGAGAAAACCAGAGCTCCGTACGTCACAGGCCATGGGAGGAATGTGAGTCTCAATTATAAGTCACCTCTCAGCTCTTACTGGGGAGACTTATGATTTAAAGGCCTAGACTCTTCAGGGAGAATTATTTTAATTTCCATCAAAGCTGTTATGGCCAACAGCTTCTGTTGGGCTGTAAGAATAACCCTCAAGCACAGTTCCTCTCCACAGGCAGGACACATCACGTGTGGTAAGTGTGCCACACAGTTAAGGGATTGCTTTATGGTACTTCCTTCTCACTCACCTTTCCCTTCATTGTCCACAGCAGTCATGTCTGCATTAGCCTTTGCTAATAATTCCAAAATCACCTCATAGCCTAGCTCAGCTGCCTTCATGGCTGGAGTGCATCCCATGTTGTCGTGGATATTTGGGCGAGCTCCGTGTTCCAGCAGGAAGCGGCACATTTCAATGTCATTTCTCATGGAGGCCACGTGAAAGGCACTATATCCTTCCTTGGGCTCTGTGTGGTTAATGAGATCTGGGAATCCTTTCTGGATCAGATTTTCTATTTGCTTCTTGTCTTTCTCATGAACACACTGAAGAAGTTTGTAGATCTGTAAGTTTAGAAGCCTTTTATCTACTGGTAGCATCCCAGGGTAGGGAAGATTTTCTTCTTTCAAGGAAGTACTTTCTGCATGGACAAAAAAGAAAACATGTAATCTCACGGGTGAGATTATAATGATATGCCAGTAAAATCAGGAATCAGACCATATTCACAGCATGAAAATATCCACTTTACCTGGACAGAACACTAGGCTTTGAACTAATTTATCTGTTACTGTGGGCAGCACATATAGAGACTATATAAACTCAAGTAGCACCTTATAAAATTTTTCTTTCTAGTCATCCAACTGTTCTGAAGAGGTCTCATTCAAGGAGAAAATTAAGTTAAGAAGCTGTAGGGTAACTTCTCTCCATTCAAGGAACTGTTATAATCTACAATTACTTGGAAGCCTAAGGGGAGGCTGTTCATCTGTTATTTTCAATGGGGGAAAACTCACAAGACACCGTGTCCTCTGCACTTGCTGAAACATAAAATTGATGCTAAAATTTATACTAACATCACCTCATCAGTGCCTGAGCACCTTCCCCATTTTTTTTTCTGCTAGCTGATGCATAAACTTCCTGCTAGACTATGTACATAAAAGAGTAAGTCAAATTTCTCTGCAACAAAACCCTTGGAGAAAAAAAAAATACAGATAGCAGGGCACTGGTCTGGGAAAAGGCTCTTCCAGGTCATGCATTACAAGCTTCTGGAAAAAATTCAGTGCAGGACTTGCATTTGCCTCAATTCTGGATGTTTTTTGTTTTGGTTTGTTTTTTTTTAATTTTTTTTCTTTTAGGTTTTTTAGCCTCTTTTAGCTAGTCTCAGCACTCGTGGCTGGAGGGTGAGGAAGGGTCAGACATTGTAGGGACCATTGCTGAAGCTTTCCTAAGTGGATGGGAAGCTTCCTATGAGCTTCAGCAAGCCTTGGGTCAGCCCGTCCTCCAGAACTCTTACAGGACATGCAACACAAACAGGTGAAGGAACATCTGTTAGAGAGCACTTGGGGTTTGGTTTGTTTGGGTTTCTAAGTTATTGCAAGGTAGTCTGTCAATGGGAGCACCCAGCGTCTGCCTGGCTACTGCTGGGTGCTTTGTGGATGGCTGTGAGACGGGGAGACTGCAGAGGGAGATGCAGAAGGATGCAAGATTCCAACAGACTTTGTGAGGCAAGACCTCCCATTCTGGAAAGGAAGCCTGAGAGAAAACTGCAGGAAAAGCAGAAAAAGATGACTGAAGGTGAATGGATAGAGAGGTAATTTTTGTAGCACAGGTACAACTTGCTAGTTGTAGTTTCTGTAGCTATTGCCTTTCATTTCCCTGGAAGTTCTGTGTCCAGCCTAGTTTTGGAGCAGAGATTGGGTCAGCTGTTGGCAGATTTCTGAGAACTGTGCCTCATTTTCCCTGCCAGACAAGCCCTCAGCTCCCTCCCTGTGCATGCAGCGATGCTGGGTGAAGGTGTTGTTATTAGGAGCTGCTCCCTTGCAGAAGTGGGTGCTAAAATGCAAAGACTTTCTCTTTGCAATGAAACCTGGTCTGAACAGATCAGCTGCTCTCAGATGTCATCCAGCTAAACAAACATGGCATTACTTAAATCCCTTTCTGTTTAGGTATTACAGAACCCTCATTCTGATCATAAACAAGTATATTCTTATATCAAACAATTAAATCTTTAAGTAGCAATAACTTAAATCTGGCACCTGTGGCTTGTTCGTTCTCATCCCTACCATGTTGCTCTTCCTGTGGCATTTTGTCCAGTGAAGGGGAATAAATGCAGAGATTTTTATCCTGCTGGCAGCAGTTACACCTATAGCAACCCTGCAGTCCCAAAGCTCAAAGCTGAGAAATAAGGGCTTCAGAGAAATGCCCTGCTAGAAGAGAGCACTGGAGTCCCCACAGAGCCTGCCCCTCAGAGCCTGAAGCAATTGCTGGGCAAATCTCAATACAGGAAGTTTTTCCTGGCTACTGAGTACAGGGAAAAGTTGTGATGCAAACTCTGCAGGGGCTGTGAGGAGGAGCAGCAGGAAGGCTCTGCAGGGAAGGCTCTTACAGTACTTACACCACTGAAATTCAGAGAAAGAAAGATACTTAGATGGAACTGACTAGCTTAAACGTTTTTTAGATACTTAGATGGAACTGACTAGCTTAAATGTTTTTTTTTAAGATACTTAGATGGAACTGACTAGCTTAAACGTTTTTTAGATACTTAGATGGAACTGACTAGCTTAAAAGTTTTTTTTTTAAAATACTTAGATGGAACTGACTAGCTTAAAAGTTTTTTAAAGATACTTAGATGGAACTGACTAGCTTAAAAGTTTTTTAAAGATACTTAGATGGAACTGACTAGCTTAAATGTTTTTTAGATACTTAGATGGAACTGACTAGCTTAAATGTTTTTTAAGACACTTAGATGGAACTGACCAGCTTAAATGTTCTCTTATGCATTTGTTCCACTTCCCACCATCCTGCAGCAGTGAGGAACTTCGGTTTACTTCCAAAAACTTTCTTCACATTGTTAGTCATGATTTGCACCTGAATTTTTTTTAGGAACTTACTTAGGATGAAAACTTTCTTTTCTTCCTTTCTTTCTCCCCCTGAAGCAGCAAACACCAAAGAAGTGACATTCCCCTTGGACATAGGTTAGTAATGCCACAGAACATGAGCAGAACTGCGTTTGGTAAAAACCTGTTAGTAACTAACTTCAGTGAACAAACGGCTATAATTGCAATATGTATGGATTTGGATTTATTTCATGGATCATCTTGGAGATTCCTTGAGATACTTGCTCCCTGTAACCTCTGCCCCACGCTGGACATGAGACTGATGGCACACCTTACACTTACTGCACAATTCCACTTTTGCTCAGGGTGTAATGCACAACTGAGTACCATTTTAGTTCTGATCAGATTTTTCTGGTGCTTTTGAGCTCTTATTACAGTATTATTTTAATGTTTCACATCCAGCAATAAAATTATTTCCATAAGCAGAAGTAAAATTATTATTATTGCAATAGTGAAGTCAGTTGTTATCACAATTCAGCCACCACTGAATCCTTACCCAGTTTAAAGTCTTTGCTTCAAAGCATTAAGAACCAACAATTTACATGAAAACAACCATAACATTTTAACTGTTACAGTTATATTTCTTTGCAGCATTTCTTGAAAGTGACTGGATCAAGTTTTATTAGAAGTTTCTAAAGTAGCAGCATCAAAGACAGGTGGGATAAAAAACTCTACCCAGGGTCATGTAAAGTTATAAGCAAGGTAAAAAGGCTTCTAAAATGAAAACTGCAGCATCTTGTCAATTTTCATTAGGTAAATACTACCCACCCTGTGCATTTCATAGATTATTTTTATCACTTCACCTATAACAGATGGTTTAATGGAAAACAAGGGATTGTTAGTGTGGCTTTGAGACTGTCATTCTCTGGGGAGGGCTTCATGAAGCTGTAACCACAAATCCCAAACCTGTAACATTTGCTTAGCAGCAATTTTATCTGTTGACAAACATCAACCACTTCTAGCTACCTTCATTCTGCCACTTGTGTCATTGTTCTGATGGAGAGCATGAACTCATTTCAAATCCAGATTAATCCTTTTCTCAGTACCCCTGGCATTAAGAAAATCATTTTAGTTGGATTCCTGTTTTCCCATAAAGCTTTCCAAGCTGTAATGGAGGTAGTTTGATAGAGAGGGAATTCTGGTGGCCAGTGATCTCATTCCCTGTCTCCCAGTGAAAGCCTGACTGCTGCGGGAAGCACTTGTGACTCCGCCTTAAAAGTTTGCAACGTTTTCAGTTTCGATGTTTCCCGTTGAAAACATCCCTTTAATTATCACTATTCACAAACCAGCAAACAAAATTTTCATGTGTTTTATCTTTAGAGGGAGAAAATAGCTGAGCACTTTCTAAATTTAATCCCTTTGCATGCTGGGCACAGAGATAAGCACGAGCCCTGTATGTCAGTATAAAAGGAACCAATATGGTAACAATGCCATGCTATATTTACAGCTTTATGTGAATAATTGCACTGGATTTTTGGCTGTGACTAATGTTTAATAGGAGTGATGCAGCAAAATCTTCCTAAAACTGAATTCCAGTATGATGAATAGCCTACAATGCTGTGGTTTTTCGGGGTTAATTCTCCAGTAATGCCTTGCCTTGGGCTGAGGCACAGCTGAGCGCAGTGACGGGCACTTAGGTCTGAACGGATCAGGTTTCAATGTCGCGTGGAGATCTCAGCCCAGATCCAGTCCTTTGGGAAACAGGGCCCAGCCCTGGGTGCTCTGAAGGCAGTTCCGGGGTTATGGCTGGGTTGGACCAAAAGGTGTGCATCCTTTTGTCCTCAGCTTGCCTTGCACCTTCCAGTCACACCAGTATCCACCAAGCCGGGATGCAGTGGAGCCCAGTGTGCCGGCACGGGCGGGGACAGGGGCTCGGGGCGGCTCCCCGGCCAGCGGCCCCGCTGGGCTCCGGGCAAGCCTCGGACTGCTGGAGTGGGGCACGAGGCGCTGCTGGCCCAGCAACGGGGGCAGGGTGAGCAGCCGGGGCTGGTTAACGTCCCTGGACTGCGGCTCAGAGGAGCGGGCGGCCTGTAGGGGAGACTGGCGGTAACGGGGGAGAAGCTGCTGCAAGGGCAGGATGCTGGAGAGCCGGTGATGACCCAGACGGTGTTCCCTGGGAAGGACGCGCCGGTCTGGCCGAGCGGACACCCAAACGGAGGTAAATGCCAGCGGCGAGAGGCGCGGCCGTGAGGGGGGCGATGTGCCCGGAGAGGCCGCGCTCAGCCCTCACCGCGCCCGGCGGCGGCGGCGACCCTCGGCAGCCCGGGGCACTCACCTGGGGAGCAGGAGGACGCTGAGGGCCCGGGGGCCGCAGCCGGAGCCCCGCCCGCCTCCGCGGCCGCCATCGCCGCCGTGGCCGTCTCCTTGGCAACGGCGTCGGCCGTTGGGAGCCGTGAGGCGGCACCGCTCCCCTCGGCGGCGGGGCCCTCAGCGCCATCGGCTCCCCTCAGGGCCACCGCTCCCTCAGCGCCACCGACCCCTCAGCGCCACCGCCCCCTCAGCGCCACCGACCCCTCAGCGCCACCGCCCCCTCAGCGCCACCGCTCCCCTCAGTGACACCGCTCCCTCAGCGCCACCGACCCCTCGGCGCCACCGCTCCCCTCAGGGCCACCGCTCCCCTCAGGGCCACCGACCCCTCAGCGCCACCGACCCCTCAGCGCCACCGGCTCCCCTCAGCTCGGTACAGACCAGCGCCCTGCCGAGGGTGAGGCGGGCACTCGGGAAGGTGTTGGGTGTCCTGGGCTCTCTCTGCTTTCAGCTGACTTACTCGGCAAGCCTCTTGTTCCTCCCCCACGGGAAGAAGCAACGCTGTGTGGTTGTTTCAGCTCCAGACTTTTCTGGAGTTGCCACACAAATGGAGTGGCGAGGTTCGCGTATCACCCAATGCCCGGCCATTCCCCCAGGGTTTGTGTAGCGCAACAATGTTAATGAGCTTGGATGGAAATGGGATCGTGGGCAGTCAGTTGGACAGAGAAACCTGTATTAACGGCAGAAAAATGCCAGTGAACGGGGAAACGCTCAGAGCTTGGCAAGTGAAGCCTAAGGCGTTCTAAAAGGCAGCAGCACTAACCCTGGGACTGCCCGAGCTCTGTATCCCCTTTGAATTCCCGACTGCACTGCCAGCCCAGCCCTCAGCGCTCTGCCAGGCTCAGTGGCCATGTATGCACGGGATAACTGCAGCAGCGCTGCCTGTCTTGTTCCTGGCCAAGCCTGGCTGTTGCATTGTTTGCAAATCACCTCTAGCGTTAGGAAATTTAAAAAAAAAAATAAATTGTTTTTTGATGTGAAATCTCTTCTGCCAGGAAAGTGGTGACACAGCTGGATGCATGTCCAACAGCATGGAAAGGCGTTTGATGAAAGCCATGGGACTGTGTGGTGAGTCACAACAAGAGAAAACATTGTTTTAGTGTAAAGTTTCATTACTTACCCTGCAAGGAGTGCCATTTGCACAGCAGCTATTTCGTGTTAGCGCTCTGTGGTGTGAATTGGTGGACTGGTAGTGATGCACTGTTGTGCCTTGGTGTATTGGTTTCCATTTTGGAAAACATAGCACCCAGGCCCTTGTCTTTCTCCTTGGCTGCACGAAATGGTTGATGCAGACATGGCACAGTAGAAGAAGTTTCCCAGCCTGTTCTGTGTAAGACTTTTGCTTTTGCTGTTGCTACAAATAAGGAGACACGTCTTGGCCAATGTCCTGTGGTAAATTCTCTGTGGTGTGAATTGGTGGACTGGTAGTGATGCACTGTTGTGCCTTGGTGTATTGGTTTCCATTTTGGAAAACATAGCACCCAGGCCCTTGTCTTTCTCCTTGGCTGCACGAAATGGTTGATGCAGACATGGCACAGTAGAAGAAGTTTCCCAGCCTGTTCTGTGTAAGACTTTTGCTTTTGCTGTTGCTACAAATAAGGAGACATTGTCTTGGCCAATGGCCTGGGGTAAATTCTACTTTTTCACTTTGTTGAGCAGCATGCATTAAATTCCCATTAGAAAAGTTAACACATGTATTTTGAAATTTAGTCTAATATAGAAATAACTGAATGTCCTGTCTGAAACATCTGCACACCTTTTCTCTGGAAGTTGTGGAAACACCACAACCAGACTATAACCAGTCTGGGTACTTGGTATTTCACCCCAAATGTGAATGTGCATGTAACTGCACGTGTATATGTGTAGATTTTTATGCTTGATTTATTTTCTCATGGTGATCAGCCTTTCACGAACTTTTTGAGTGATAATGAGGATTCATGATGCAAGAAGCAGCTCAGTATCATATTGGATGGTTCAAAGCAATGTGGCTTCAAGAGCAGAGGCATTGCTCTCATATTAGGGTGCTGCAACATCTCCCAAATAAACAGGATTAAAATCCTCTTAGAGAAATTCAGAGTATTCCCTGCCTATAGAGATAAATAAAGCTCATCCGGAAAAAATTACTCCAAGGTCTGAAGCCTCAGGCTGCTGGGCTCTTTTTGGCTGACAGCTGAGTCTTGGAGGCGTGGCAAGCTACTGCAGGAATGCAGGTGGGATGGTGCCGGTGAAAACTGACTGCGCTAAGGGAGTGGTACTGACTGCCCTGAGGCAGGGAGGGGGTGAACTGCCCCGAGCTCTGAGCATGCCGGAGCGCCCAGAGCCGAGCCCGGGGCACACGGCACGGCCCAAATGTGGGCACGGTGTCCGGTGTCCGTGTGCTCTGTACGGCCCCGGTGTGCCAGCGCCGAGGGCTCGCCTGGGGGCAGCGCTGCCCGGAGCTCTGCTGTGCTGGGAGTTAGGGCACTTGGGGCTGCTCTGTCCTGGCTGCTGCAGGCAGCTCCCCTCCCGTCCCACGGGAACATCCTCACAGCCAGGAGGAGCTTCTGGGACAGTCCAAGGGGTGCTCCACTGGCTTCGTGGTGCCCTGGATGAATGCCATCTGTGGAGCCCACAGCAGAGAGGTTTTGCCTACTGTGTCTGATAAAGAGATCACTGTTAAATCCTGTCCAAATCAAGATTATTCCAAAGAACATTTATTACTATTTCCCCCTTGTTTAACATTAACCTCAACTGTTCCTGCAACATATATTCTTCCCTATGATAGATAAAGCCCCCATTACTGCCATGCTCACTTTGCAGCTCCAAAATCATCTAATTACACGTGAAAATGTTTCATTGCTGAATGCGTGCTTCCAAATATTCAAAATACAAAGGCTGTGAAGTTTTGTTTGGTGCTAGCAGAAGGTGCCAGGCTGCGAGCACTGCACAGTCCCTCCTGGAACATGTGGGACAATCCAGCTGCATTGCCCGTTCCACTTGCTGTGTCTGCATTGTGCTGGGTTTTCTCTGTGGATGTCAAAGCCCAAGGATGCTAGAGCTGTCCCACAGCTGACCTCTGGAGGGAGGCTGTGCGCCACAAGGACTCTCGGGCTGGATGGCCCTGCGGTCCTGTGGACATCAGGGGGAGCTGGGCTGGTGACAGCCTGACTTCAGCTGCAAGGTGTGCTTGAGGAGTGCCTGGTTTTTTCTTAAGCCTTTTTACTGTGGAAGTAATTATCACTGCTATTCATCTCTCTGGATTCTGATGCTACTGCAAAAAAATCTGCTGTGCGGTGCATTCCACCCAAAATCTCCTTATTCAGACGTGCCAGCTTGGGAAAATGACATAAATGTACAGATGTGGCTAATTCTGAAGGTCATCTTGGGAGCTGTCGTGGGGGCATTGCTCCAGCTGTGCCCTCTCCAGGGAGGGAGTAGTCTCCTCCTCGAGACAGCCTTTGTTTCGTGCAGCAGCACAGCCTCCTCAGGACTGTGCTGGCAGGTACCACCCAGCTCCTCCTCCTGTGTTTCCTGGGATCTGCTCTTTCTGTTTGGATGCTGCTGTATGGAGCTGTTGGTATCGCTCAGATCAATGTACAACCTGCCAGACTGGTTTAGGTTTTTTCACTCTTCTTTATACTCTTTCTGTAACTGCTTTGTCAAAACCAACACTGATTTTTTTCTACCACTTAATATGCACTCTTAGGAACAGACCTCTTCATCAAGGAGAAAATCCATGAAATAACTGCATTAGGTCCCTGATACTGTGGCCTTGGAGAAAAGACTTAGGAGGAAAGCTGAGTCTCTTTTGGTATGGTTGTTTTCAAGGGAAAAAAAAATTTCAAACTGTCAGCAAGGCTTTTAAAGACAAATAGTGACAAAAGCTGAAGCGTTTTGCCAAGAAGTTCTCTGTTGAAGGCAGCTCAGATGAATGCTACATAGAAAAACAGTCTCAGGAAAGGATCTGCAGCAGGTTAGCTGGGTTTTGAGAGAGGGGTGTTTCAGGAATAAGAGCAATGTCAGTAGAAGTTTGGTTGTGGGGTTTTGTTTGGTTTCTTTTATCTTTGTCACCTAAATTTTCCCTAAAACTGTTTCTTTTTTGGACGTTGTAAATACAGACTTCTTGTATGCCCCTGCACTTCAACTTGACGTGAGGTAAAGGTGATTTCAGAGTTACTGAGGAAGAGGCAGGCACTCCTCAGCCAGGGATGTGGCAAAGTAAAAAGGGATGGTGGGTGGGGCAGTCCAGCAGCTCTGCACTCCCAGCATGTGCTTCCCAGGAGGAGGGCTGGCATCCCTGGAGTCAGGGGAGCTTTCCAGTGCCACAGAGCAGGGCGGGAGCTCACTGAAGAGCTGACAGCTCTGGGAGCCCTCGGAGTTCATCACTGGCTTGCTTAGCAAGGTTTGTTCAGTAAAGCCTCTGTTACTGATCCTGCAGCTTCTGTACCCTGTGGCACTTGTGGAGGGGGGAATGCACCCCTTCCATCACCATTTCCTACTAGGGTCTCTTTTCTACTCAGCCCAGGGATTCTGAAATTGTTTCTGCTACTTATTTTCATGTTTACTTGCCTAACACTGTGGCTTGGAACACACAGAACTCAGTGGGAGGATTCCAGATGACTTCAGTGGGATGTTCTGTTAATAACAAACCCTGACTCTATTAGTCTGCAGATCATAATGCTAAAAAACTGAGGGGAAGGAATGAAGATGATAATTTTGTAGCTGGTTTTCAGTTAGCTTTCAGGCCGATGGTTAGATGGCAATGAAAATACAAACTGCCTTATTTGTCCCATTGGCTCTCACCCTGTCACTGTGTCCTGTTTAAAATCCTTTGCACTGCAAGTTCTCAGTTTTCAAGGTGAGGGTTGTAAATGTTCTGGAGTCTTTCTCATCTTATGTTACATGAGGCTACTGAAATATTGATCACATGCTTCACCCCATACCCAGCAAATAAAGAATTTCCAGCTGGAAGTTATTTTGTGTCTGTGAGGCAGATCTGATGGTGCTGGCTCTCAGCAACTTAGGGCAGTAGCTTTTAGAAATGCAACCAGAAGGGAGGCAGTGTAATGGGGCAGAGATCAGCACTTGTACCCAGGCCTGATGGAGAAACATCTGGGCTTCAAAGCTGCTCCTGGAGCCCAGTGCTGCTTGTGTGAGGAAGGGCAATCTGCACAAAGAACAGCTAAGGGCATGAAAGCAGTGCTTCCAAAGTGCAGGGCTGCTGAAATCCCTGAGGTCAAGCAGGGGGAACTCCTATACAAGAAATTGATTGGTTCAGTTGGAATAAGCCTCATTCCTGTTCCCTTGCTTGGCCTTGCTCAGTTGTGGTTAAATGAGGAGAGGGATGATAATCATCTGATTATCCTGCTTTTGACAGTCTGTGGAACAGTTGGGTGCCCAGGCTTGTCCTCTTGCCAATACCAGCTGCAGGGATGGGTTTAGCATTTGGAAAGAGAAATAACATGTTCCACAATCTCTGACATGTGCAGTGGCTGTTCCACTGCTGAATGTACCAGGAGAGAGACTGGAACTGTCACTCTGTGGGCTCATCTTGCCTGTGTTCTGATTCCCACTGCCCAAATTACCTACCAGGAGAGAGCACAAATTTTCTCAGCAATTAATTAAATATGTTAGGAAAGACTTCCCAGGTAGAGGGTGCAATTTCTGCTTCAGATGAAAAAGTTAACTGAGTCAACTTACAGCAGTCTTAGATTTGATAAGGGACACTTGGCATGGGGGAAGCTAATGCTCAGTGCTGCTGCCCTGTATCTATCACTGCCACCACAGTTCATCCCAGCTTTTCTGGGTTCTTTTGGCCTCAGAGTTCTTGGATTTTGTGCCATACCATAATCAAGTCAAATTTAAAACTGTATGTGTAAACCAGCAGTATTTTCCATGGCAATTAGTAAGAGAGTGTTAATGGAGCGGCCGTGATCAATTACTCTCAAAGAGAAATGTTACTAATGTTTCCCTTTCCTGTTAGTAGGTATTCTTTTCTTCAGACCTTATTCCTTACATTAGCAGCCAAACCTGAATATGTTCTTTCTGAGCTCCAAGTATACTGATATGGCTCCTTGGTGTTTAGCTCT